ACATAAACCCCACACCAACGTACGTACGACTAACTAGGTATATATATAATAATATAGTATATATATATATATATATATATATATATATATATATATATATATATATATATATATATATATATATATATATATATATATATATATATATATATATATATATATATATATATATAGATATATATATATATATATATACATACATATATATATATATATATATATATATATACATACGTACATATACGTACGTATATGTATAGCTTTGTCCTCAACAATGAACACACTAAAGACTAGCCTCACAGACCTCGTTGATGTACGGAATGGCATTGAACACCATCGCCTGCATTGACAGGAACACTTGGATCAGAGTGGACAGGCTGTGTGAGAAATAAAAATGCAAACAATCAGATGGCATAGTTCTATGAAAGGAATTGTAGGTAAATCCAATCCAACGGTATAAGCAGTAAATTTGCTTGTATTCATATAGAGAAATTTTGCATGTTCATATATTTGGGCTGATAATGTATACTATACAAGTAGTGCTGAATACATTTACCTTGGCTTCCATCCAGGCCCACCCCATGTGCCCAGTAGAGAAAGACACACAGTACCATTGTTGTAGAGATTGGGATTGAACCGCACAGTCCCATGGCCGGTGGTAACAAAGTGTAGCTGTGGCGGTTTCTTCGGATAGTCACTCGGAAGATATAAGTCAAACTGTAATATTTGCCATGGATACCGATTAGAGTCTTCAATACATACACATACACACACAATATATATATATATATGTATGTATGTATATATGCATGCACGTATGTATGTAGGTATGTATGTGCATACATACATACATACATACATACATACATACCTGCATACCTACATAGATATATAGATACATATATACATAGTACATATACACATATATACATATATACATAGTACATATACACATATATACTTAGATATATAGATATATAGATACATATATACATGGATACAGACATACGCCCGCACATATATACATACATATCTATATACATACATCCATATCTACATACATACACACATACAAACATTCATATATATACATATATATATGCTCTGACCTTTCTGGTTGTTGCTCTGGTTCGCATCAACTAATAGCCAGGCTCATACATACATACATACATACGTACATACATACATAAAACATACATACATGCATATATACATATTTATATATATATATATACATATATATTGTAATGTGTGTGGTCCACGTGTAGTAGTGAGTCATGCAGGATGACTCAGGTGTATGAGGGGATAGTTTTAGGGTGGAATACCAGTGCTGTGTGTCTAGTGCTATTGGTTTCACAGACCCGTTGAGGCTGTAAAATGTATAACAATAGAACAAGAGGATAGGATATAAAGCAGCTAGAAATGCAAAGTAGTGTAACATATATAGTGTAACATATATAGAAATGTAAAGTAGTGTAAAATAAATAGATAACGAGTGACAGGCTACAGACGAGACCGGGCACTCGGAGGGATGTTGTGTCAGTTACCAGAGGGGACTCACGATAGGCAAAAGCTAGTTGAGATTATATGTCAAGGTTATGAGATGATCACTTATCATAATCTTGTGAGCTATTGCACTACTTGATGATATGAAGTATGACACTAATTTCACTATAAACAGTTCGTGAACTAAATGAGTTATTCACAATATATATATATATATATATATGTATACATATATATAAATATATATATATGTATATACATATATATATATATATATAA